GCTAGGCACCAGCTCATTCAAATTTTAAATTCAAATTTTAAAATTCAAATGGATTATTTAATTTTTGTCTTAATTAAAATTATTCAGGTGTTAATTATTTCCAATTAATCTCCCCTGCATTTGGAAACTAATTATTTTCCCTCCAATTGATTTGAGTAACGGCTTTAAACCCCACTCCAATTCTAAAAGGAAGGGATCGCTCCTTCCTTCGCGGTCGACTTCCTCTGCCCCCTGAGCTCTTCTCTCCTGTTCGCTCCCGCTTAACTTTCCGGTTTCTGTCGCATTTCCGCTGCAAGCACGAAGCTCGCTCGCTCTCCCTCAGCGCTCCTCGACGCTCGACAACTCCTCTCTCCCGCTTGCCCTCCTCCTCGGGCCTGCTTCCTCGCCCGATAGATTCAACTCCTCCGCTCTCCTCTCACTCGACCGAATACCCCCGCTCACCTGCTTGCCTCCCCCTCTCGCGCCGAGGAATCCCGTTCAGCTCCTCTCCGCCTCTTCCGCACGAGACTCACCTACTCTCTTTGCCCGGTTCGCCGCACGCCCTAGCCGAATCCTTCCACTCGGCTCTTCCTCCCTGCACCGAAATTCTAAGGAGCCCAAAGCTCTCACCTCACTCTGTTCCTCTCGACAGAAGCCTCGCCTTCCCTCCTCTCCTTCACCGAAGGCTCCCGGTTCCCCCCTTCCTCACTCCTCAAATCCCGAGATCATCATCTTCCCAGGTAAGATTCTTTACTCGAATTTCTTCTCGTTCAGAAGCTTTGAGCTGACTATAAAAAAAAAAATTTCTTATCATTGCTTATTAAATGATGATCTGAAACTTGTATGCCCCTGGAGCTCAATTGTTGGTAGCTTCCTTTTGCACTGCTATGAGGTTGAGTTTGCTAGTGAAGAGAAAATAATTTTAGTAATCGTTTGTGGTCTACAAAGAACATGTTGCATATTATTACTTATTTTTGCAATGTGTCTTTTATCCACTGTCCAACTTTTGCATCTACCATTAATCGTTAAACTTCCAGTAGTTGATAGAATAAGAGTTTTCAACATACAAATGGTGTAAAGATTTGCTTATGGCAGCTTTCTCATGGATTTGTTATTCAAACCTCTGTTATATTTTCATTTGGCCATAAATATATATAGAAAACACGACTTTTTTTTTTTTAATCTTAACTGGACGTTATAGGCAGAGAAATTGCTATGATAATTAATGTCTTGAGCATTAGCTGAGAGTCAAATTCAAAAGGAAGGTTGTAATTGCAGTGGGTTTTCCTTAGTTGCAGTTCTCTCACTAACGCGAATCTCTCACTAATGTGAGTACCTTAATCTTCCCTAGATTGACTATTTGTAGCTGGTAATTTTGGGAGGTCGTAGGAGTGCTGTTGAAGCCTTAGGAGTGTTGTTGGAAGCTTAGAAAAGCCTTGGGAGTGCTGCTTGGGCCTTGAATTTGTCGTTTGGGAGCTGTTTGAGATAAAAGTCTGTTGCCCATTGCTAATTAAGGGTTGTTATGAGTGTTTGAAAGTTGTAGAGGGTCGTAGGATCGCCACATAAGCCTGCTAGTTTCTGCCCCGAGCTGTAATAGTTGTAGGACCGTTGTCCAATGCTTCAATTTGCTGCCCACCCCTGTTTGGGTTCGCAGGAAACCATCTAGGTGTTACCCACTGCTGTTTGGGTTCATAGGAAGGTTGTAGAGTGCTGCCCAATGCTCCTAATCGCTGTCAGATGTCATAAAAAGCCACCTAGGAGCTGTCCACCACTCTTTGGGTTCGTAGGAAGCCACTTAGTAGTTGTCCACCACCGTTTGGGTTCGTAGGAAGCCACCTAGGAGTTGTCCACCCCGATTTGGGTTCGTAGGAAGCCACCTAGTAGCTGTCCATCTCTGTTCGGGTTCGTAGGAAACCACATAGGTGTTGTCCATTGTTGTTTGGGTTCATAGGAGCTCATATAGGCGTCATTCGAAACTCCTAGCTGTTGTCCGGAGTCGTAGGATCACCGTACTCATTCGCTAGTTGCTTACCGGAGCCGTAGGAGATCGTAGGATCACCATACTAGCTCGCTAGTCGCAGTCAGGAGTTGTAGGAAGCCATAGGATCACCTCTTTTGGGAATTCGTAACTGTTACTACAACTTGTTCTACTGTTTACTGTTTTCTTTTCTTTGCAATTTATTGCAATTTATTTAGCAATTTATTTAAAATCCCTGCAAATTATATTGTGTTTTGTGAGTTAAACATGCAACAGGAATAGCAGCAGCAGATACGTCACGTACGCAGGTACATTTTATTTGTTGTTTATTTATTGCAATTATTGTTGCTCTAACACGTTATACAGGTACTGAATACAATTTCACTTTCAAAACAAAACGATTTTTCAAAATTAAACAACATTTTCAAAAAAAAAAACAAAACATAACACGTTCTTTCGAACTTACGGGAGTCCCTCGGAGGAGGTAACCCACGGTTGCTAACGAGATCTCCCCGGTTTAAATGAGTTTCATAACTCGTTTAAACTAAATAAGTTCAAAAGAAAATAGTGATACCGGAAAGAGGGAACCGTGGGATCCTAACCGGTGTCGCTCTAATCAACTTGAACCCCCACATTGACAACCAAACTGAGACATTGAAAAACAACTGGTAAAACTGTTTGAACTTTAGACTTTAGTACTGTTACTATTACGAGGAGCTCGGAGAAACTTTGTGGGCAGCACGACAAGGAGTTTGGAGCGAACTACAGGTCGCAATTCTACAACAGCAAAACTCTTTTAGGCTCCTGCACAACTATGTTGTGCAGCGTAAGTCCTAACTCGCCTTAGGTTCTGAGGTTGTCATCTAGAATGACGTAAAACCTCTTATCTTTGCGGGCTATTTGCATAACCAGTTATTATGCAAATGTAAATCCCAAATAATAAAATTGGCAGGATTGAACAATTGAATAACATCGTCTCTAAAATACAGCCACACGGTAGGATAGTTTGGGAGATCACTGAGGATTCTCCTCAGAATCTGTGACATCCTCTACCCTTTACTTCCTTTGGACTCCTGAAATAATTGTTCTCACTTGAGCCACTCCCACTTGTTTTTTTTCTATGTCCTACCTTGAAAACTTGAACCTTGAATTCTTGAAGACTAGAACCACTGATCATTATCGAGAGTTTTCTCAAGTAACTCTCGTCACTTGGGATGTAATTAACTATAGGGGCTTGCTTCTATAGGGAACTTGGAACCCAAGTAAAATAAACCCTATTTAATCTTTGTATTAAATAGGAAAATTTGTTGGTCATACATAAAAGGTTCGCAGACCAAACGGATGTCACAAATTTCTTAGTTTGCAGGATTGAGTCTATCGCCGAGATCTACACTTATTTTTCGGGAAGGTGTAGTATTCGCGGTATCGGGCACAATTATGCAAACTATTGGACAAATGAGATCCATTTGGTCTCATTTTTTCAAAAATTAAAACATGCTACTTTCAAAACCCAAACTATATATCTATTATATTAAATTAAATTTGAAAAATTACTTTCATATTCATATTTTTCAAATAAATCTAATCAAAAAGTTGACCGACAATAAGCAGTATAAATTAATGCCAATTCAAACGCCAAATAAAATTTGGATGGAAAAAAGTAAAATATTTTTTAGAGCTGAAGCTGACTTGCATGCTCGTTTATTGTTGAGCTTCTTCACTAAATTGCCATTAACAAAAGAGGCATATGGCCTTTCCTTTTCAAAAGTCCAGAAAAATGTGCTTGACAGTTATTCGTAGCAAGCTTAGAACCTATACCATGAAGTTCAATGGTCATATGGATGATTAGCTTGCAGCAAACATACATGAAAACTGAAGATGATTCAAGTCATTAGGATGCCCTATTCAGAAGATCTAACAATAGGATTTCGGATCTCTAACATATGACCAGTATCTTGGCATCATATTTTAAAAAAACACCCACCACTTTCCAAAATACTACTGCAAAATGTTAGTGTATTCTGTATTTTATATATTCTTAGATTGTTTAGATATAAGCCTTCATATAAGTGGAGCAAGCTAATCCATAAAGTAGAAATAACTAAGCAAAAATGAAACATCCTGGCAAACCAGAATAGATGCTGCACCATGGACCATGAGAAATAATTAAGCAAAACAGAAACATCCTGGCAAACCAGAATAGATGTTGCACCATGGACCATGACGGAAATATCTTTGGACGGCAAGATAAACTGAATGGAACATATCCCAGAATTCATCACTTCCAAAAAGAATGTAGGCCTTCAGCAAATATTCGTAGAATGAATCAACACCTGCAACTCATAACGATAGTAATTAGAAATCTAGATTGGCAGGGAAAATTGGGCGAGAGAGTGAAGATAGAGAGAAAAAAAGGGAACAGAGTAAGGCAACATTACAACTGCACTAATCATCTCTTTTTCACATACGAACATCCTAAAGAACATATTTCCACACACAGTAAGTAAATCACGCAACATAATCACAAATATATGCAAAATGGGTAGGTATACTTATACATAATGAAGATAAAGAACTGTCAGAAGAAAAGAAGAGTGTGACGAAAAGGAAAAATTATTTCATTTCACGTTAATTCATCCTACAAAATGTATTAGGTATAAAAATAACCTGCTTAGAAATGATCTTACGGAAAGAATATGCAGTAAAGACTATTAATTCTAGAAGAGATATATTCTGGAATCATCCAGACTTGCTACAATAGTGAATTATAAAACTCTATCAAAACAAGCAAAATAAGTAAAATATGGCGCACAATCAAAAAATTATCAGGAAGAGATCTCGGTTTTATATGCTAAAGTCCTCTTCCCATTCAGAGCTGGCAGACAGCAAAGTTACTAAAATTGGGCGCCTATTTTCCAGCAGGAGCCAATGGCTAGATAAGTGTACATGCAATGGAGGAAACCACCAGCTCACATATCAACTTTGAGTTCATGGCTGTCTACAGACTGAAATTGCAATCAAGGTTTCTAACACCACCTCGGGGGCTTTCTTTCCATCAGAAGCTAGTGGAACGTAAGGGTACATGCACTGGAGGAAACAGCCACCTCACATACCAACATTGGTTCAATGGACACCAATGGCCAGCATTAATTACAATCAAAGTTTCCAACAACCCAGCGCCAAAGCTGGATTGTACACATCAAACAATTCCAGCTTGGCAATCATTTTTTTTCATACAGAGGTCCAGCCAATTCCTCAATCAAGATAACTGTAGTTTGTTCAAAAAATGATATATAAGAAATACATAGTCCTACTTTCCAATTTCTCCTCAATAAAATGTAGATCTACCTCCACACGTTTATAAGTTCATGATGAATTTGATTATGTGCTATATTGATGGCAGCCGTATTTTTATAATGTATTCATTGTCCCCTTTGCGAGAGACCTGAGTTCAGCTCTGCACTGCTTCGAGCTACTACATTTTTCATCTTGCTTCTTCAAGTCATTAGATTGTTCCATACATAAGAACAATAGCTACATGTATATCTTCAATCAATCATATAGCCAGCTGAACAATCCTTGTTATAGGCATTTATATGACATCATTAAGGTGCCCTTCATAAGGTGCATGCATAAACTGATTTATTGGACCGACAATGTTTGGCCTATTACAAGAAAGCTAGAGAAGTTTCTCAGCAAGATGTTAATGTCTACCTTTATCCGCATGAGTGATACTGTTCAGATCACTCAATTTTATATTTGATTTGTTGAAATTTAAACTGGTTTGAATCATAAGTAAATTATATATATATTTAAAAATCAAGTACATATTAACTCAGAGGTATGCTAATACTTGAAAACCAATAAAATACCTGAGAGACAATTTTTTATTTCAAATTCCTGGATCAGTAGTTTCTGTAAGGAGCTTATCCCAAAATCATGGTCACAACCAGAATGATATCATCAACATATAAAATTACTATTGGCGAGTGTGGTCTGAATCCTTATTCACATAATTTTGGTGAACCTTACAATCCATGCTCATAGACTACCCCAAGAAAAAAGATCTTTTTTAGGTTTGCATACTTATCTTGTACTTTTAGTCCTGAATCTTCCGCGAAAACTTCATCAATCAAGTATTTGTTTAGAAAAGAATTCTTCACTTTTAATTGGTGTAGAAGCTAATAAAAATTTGTAGTTATTAAAAGTTGTATCCAAATTACATTCAGTATATCAACTAGAGCAAATGTTTCCAAGTGATAATTCCATTGGTTTAGGGAAATCCTCCTACAACCAACCGTGCCTTGTATCTTTCAATGCACCAATAAAATAAATTTCAACTAACAATCTATTTACACCCAACAAGATAGAACAATAGAATTTCTATACAACTTCACAAGTCCTAATCTTTTCAATGGTCTCCACTTCACCTTGTATTTTCTGAGAGCTTATTCTGTGGTCTTTGAAATTTCAACTTCCTACTGGACTGAAAACCAGAATTTCACAAAGGATGATACATAATCATAACTCAAAACATTTACCATAAAATGATGAGTATAAGAGCAATCACCATTTCTCAACACAAACGACAATTCATCAGTATTATCCCAAGGAAAGAAGAGTTTACAAATTACTTGAGTAGAGGTAAAATTCATGACAAGTTCCAAAGGTTGACTGTTTCTACTCTTTGAAGATTCTTCCATCAAGCGGAAGCCAGAACCTCCAAGGAATTCAGGGAATTAATTACAGGCATGTTAGTTGGCTGAAGCACGCTGATCTTATTCAGTGCAAGCAATACTAATAATTTCTAAGTTATTTGGTTTAGAAAGAATAAGATCTTCCATGGTGTGTATGTAATTAAGAATCTTCAAGAAAAAATTATGAAAATTACCTACACCTTCTTTACTTCCCCGAAGGAAATATTTTTGGAAAAGTGTTTATTTCAAAAAAGGTGACGTCCATAAACACAGTCAATTTCTCTTTTCTAGGAAATAATATTTTTACCATTTTTTATAGATATAATACCCAAGAGAAATGCATTTGAAAGGCCATTAGATTGAATTTATTTCTTTCATGTTCATGATTGTGGAAAAAAGTAGTGCACTCAAAGTGTAAGGTGCAAATTTGAATAGTGCCAATTATTTGAAATGCTCTTGAAGCTTTGATAGAAGTTTGAGAGTGAAGGCTTCAGATCAATTCTCTTGTTTTTCTTCCAAGAATGAACACCTACCACAAGAGCAACACCACAAATGCTGCTACAAATGCTAAAGGAAAGAACAAGGATTACAATCACCAAAAAAAAGGACCAAATCATGTTATATACATAACAACTACAAAACAAACAAGTCAACAATACTCATCCATGCCAAAGGGACCACTTTAAAGAGCTCTCAAAATTAGATAATTACACTTATAATTAAACCATACAAGTGTAAGCCAAAACAGTAGGGCTGATGGACGAAAATCTAAACGAAATAACTTACACCAAATTGGATCACAGTCAAACCAGCCAGATTGTCCCAAAACAGAAAATATGTATTCAGAATGATGTAGAAACTCGGATCCCAATCAAGTACACTAACAGATTTACAACCTAGCTATATAATCCCACTCCCTACCCCAAAAAAAGCCCTTATTCAACCTATCTGCTTCTCAGATCCTTCTGGTTCCAGCTTATTTCCTTCTTTAAGTGGACAATATACTGTTAACCGAACATCGTAGCCAAGGCATACGGTAAGAACAGAGAAATTGTGTTCGACATCAAAGTTCAGTCTGGCTCATCTCCTCACCCTTTAGGGGACAATACAGTTGTACTATATCTTAGTCTTGGTATAGCAGAGGAATGGAAAAATTGTTTTTGACATAATCATAAGTAAAAAAATTATCTCTCTAGCTTAAAAGATCATGAAAAAGTTATTTGAATCCGCCTGGCTGCTTGTCCATGATATAAGGTTGGTACTGATAACAGATCAAAGTAGATCAAATCTGTCCATTGTGGTAACGGAAAAAATCTATATGAAAGTATGAAAAATTATTTCATGAAAATGAAATGGTTGCTTATTGACTTAGAAAGGATTTGGCATATTTAACGCAACGAAAATTTATGAAGAAGAAACTAATACAAAAGATAATCAATGATAAAAGAATGTACCAGCCCCAATGCCAGTGGAATATTCAATCCACTCTCCAGTAATTACATCAAGAGTAGTTCCCAAAAGATTCAAGGAACTTCTCATACTCCATAACTTTTGAAGAGCATGACGTGCTGCATTTTCATACTGAGAATTACCGGTTAACCGTGATAGCGTTCCCATTTCAAGAATAAGAGAACCTGATGAAGCATAAATTTGTTAGAGAAAGAGACGACTGTCAGCCAAAGCCAGGCTCATAATACCAAATAATAATTAGTCCGTGCCCTCACCACATCCTGATGTGCTTGTTTCAGTTGTCTCATTTTCCATGACTCCGTGCTAGCAAATATAAAATCTTGTTAGTGTCAACAACAACAACAAAAAGATAAGAGTACTCAAAATGTCTCTTCCACAAGCACTAATTCTGAATTTTTCTTAGACCCATAAAATAAATTATGACGTTGAAGATGGTTAAATAATATAAAAGTTCGATATGCAGTTTATAATTTCAACATGTCTCCATCTAATAATGAAATTTGCATTTTGAGTAGCATGGAGATTGTAATCTATACTTCTACCCTAATGAGTGTATATCATCTTCCTTTTGCAAGTGTTGTGCATGTAGCTTGTGAGAGAACAAATGGTGAACCTCCTCGACCTCCATATCTCATCATTTTGGAGCTCACGTTGTTGTTTTCAGCCTGGGCAGCTGCCGAACAAAGCTTATCCCAATTCAAACGCTATTGAACTCACATATTACCGTTATCTTGCCATCCCACAATCATCTACCCACAAAAACCGCTTCCTAAACAACTTCTATGAGACCTCAAATACTATCTTATGGTATTAGAGTCCGGCAAGCCTTAATTTCTTATTGGTTGTCTTTCTTGTCCCAAATCAAAATTCACAGAAAATAAAAAAACAACAATCCCTACCATATCCTACACATTCCTACCACTGTTCCTAGCCCTAACCCAATATTTTCAAAATTCACATTCCTACCTTTACCAAAAATCCACCCATCTACACCACCAAAAACCTAAAATTCGACAAGCCTTTTATCTACACCCATCGAAACATTACCGGAAAGAAAATTGCATAATGTCACCTAAAAGAAATTTGCAAAGAGGTATCTGGAAGCTTACTATCGAAGATATACAACAAGAAATCATTCAACTGCAACAAAAGCTTGCCGCCTTTAAGAGAAGACAACACGAAGGGGTCACCAAAAGCCATAACAGTCTCGCTAGAGTAATAGGAGGAAGTGAATCATTTCCACCAAACAATTTCTAGTTATGAAATATCATAGGAGAAATCAGGATATCGGAGTAAAGATAGATTTTTTTTTAATAGTCGTGTGGATTCCAACAAGATTATTGAATTGCTCTAAAAATTGGATCGAATTTTTTAGTATAAAGACATTCCCCAAGACCAAAGAGTTTAATTTGATGTGTCATTCTTTAAAATAATGAGAGAGGGTAATTGGGCATAGGTTAAGACGTGATACAAAGATTTCTCATAATCAATTTAGATTTATGTAGGGTGGGTTTACAATGGAAGCTATACATTTATTGAGAGGTTTGATAGAAAAGTACAGAGAGAATGAGGAGGGTCTACATATGATTTTTATTGATTTAGCAAAAGCTTATGATAAGGTTCTTAAAAAAGTCATTTAGAGAGTTTTAGAGAAGAAAGATATCAATATGACTTATGTTCAAGTCATTAAAGATATTATACTAGAGTTGTTACTTGTGTTCGAATAGGAGATGATTGACCAAGTATTTTCCTAATTCAGTTGGATTACATCAGGGATCGACCTTTAAGCCCATATATTTTTGCTTTAGTTATGGATTCTCTTACTGGACATTTATAGGAGGACGTACCTTGGTGTATGCTCTTCACTGATGATATCCTTCTTGTGGATAAGACTAGAGAACGAGTTCAGAAAAAACTTGAATTATGAAGGTCTACATTGGAGTCTAAAGGCCTTCATTTGAGTAGATCTAAAACTAAATACATAAAATGTAATTTTAGTAGTAGTAGTTCAAGTGGTAGAGTTATAACTATGGGAGATCAAATCATTAAAAGGTGTGCTCGTTTTAGATATCTCAAGTCTATGATTCCAAGTGATGGTGATATGGATGGGGATGTTATTAGTAGAATTCAAGTTGGTTAGTTGAAGTGGAGGAATGAATCGTGCCTATTGTGTGATAGAAAACCACCGCTTAGACTAAAGGGAAAATTTTATAAGATGGCAGTGAGACCTGTAATGCTCTATGGTGTACAATTTTGGCCTTTAAAAGAGAAGCATAAAACAAAGTTAAGTGTTGCCGAGATGAAAATGTGCTCTATGGTGTGCAATGTTGGCCTTTAAAAGAGAAGCATAAAAACAAAGTTAAGTGTTGTTTAGATGAAAATGTTTAGGTGGATGAGTCGCTCGACACTTAGAGACAAAATGCGAAGTAAATATATTTGTGATGGTGTTGGTGTAGCTCCTTTTGCAAGTGGTGTAAATGTATTTTGTGCAAGAACAGGTGGTAAACCTCCTCGGCCTTCTTACCTCGTCGTTCCGGAGCTCTCTTTGCCGTTTTCAGCTAGACAGCCGCCAAACGATACTTGTCCCTAGTCAAACACCATCAAACTTGCACATTACATTTTCCTTGCCATCCCACAACTACCTCCCCGCAAAACTAACTTCTTAAACACCTCTAGGAGCTCTAGAACGGTATCACCAACTAAACACATTTTCATTTCAAACCGTAATTTTCAGTTTAAAAGAAAAATCTGCAATGAATTAAGTTCCAGCAAAAGCTTTCACAAATCACTGCAGAACAGTAGAGCACCTTTACCAAGTATTGAACTGCGATCTGGCATGTGAAACTACCATACTATGCCACAGTATTAAAAGAAAATGATATATCAAGATATCATAAAAAAAAGACCATAAAGATCTAGTACCTTCAGATTTACCCATGCATATGGCAAGCCAGTAGGGGTATCAAAGGCCAGCAAAAACCGTCTTCCTAAATCTTCAGCAATGCCAAGCAGCTCATTCTGATATATTCCCCTCTCTAACCTGTTTTTAGAGTCAGTTGCTAGTATATGAGCAGACAAAAGCCCCCCAAGAACTCGTATGTTACACTGAACAAATAAAAGGTAAAGAAGAGAAATTATAAACAGTTGCACCTAGCTCAGGGATTTAAGCCTATCAAGAGATGTAATCTACCTCTATAAATATGAGCATATGAAATTGAAAAGACTAAACAATACCTCGAACAAGTTCACTCGAGCATCCACATCAAAGGAGAGATGCTCAGAAAGCCAAAGAACTCCTTTCTCAAACTCTGTATTGTTACCTAAGACAACAAGACTGCAATAAGCCAGACAAAGATTCTATCAAAATGGATCAACATTTTTGGTGAGTGCAAATGATTAATTACTTACAAATAGAAATATTGGATTAGTAGAAATGAAACAATTAAGTAATTAGCATCCTGCAGCAGAAGCCACAGTAAATATATGATAAAGCTTTATTCAGAAAATAGTAGTATCATCATATATAAAGGATACAAGAGTCCAGGCAACACCAAGACTTGCATCTTTCATACTTGCTAGGACAGACCTTTTTCCGCCAAGTTCTCAACAAATTGAAAACTCCGTCAATCTCAAACTAATTGCACGATACACTTCTAAATATTTTGATCATAAATGCTGCCACATATTGATAAAGGAAACCTTAGAACTTGAAGTTTCAAACATGGATAAATAATGTGATACGATGCAAAAATATACAAAATTCGGTATAGAACGCCTTTGATGAAAAAAAAAATGATAGAAATAAATTTAGATATAAATTCTATAATTTTCTACTACAAATTAACTAGTAGAATTAAGAATTAAGAAAACAACAGAAAACTAAAATTCAAGCTATTGATAAAAATCTAAAATATAGAAAAAAGAACTTACTGCAATCTTCCTGTAAACAATGACAAATGCAATAGAAAAATTCGAGAAAAAATGAAGCGAAAGTGGACCCAAAATGTTAAGAGTTCATAGTTAAAGAAAAAAGAGAAAGAGGAGATAATCTCTTCACAAATTCGTCGAGTCTTGATCAAGTTACAAAATCCCAAAATAACTTAAGAAAAAGTATATCCGAATTCACAAAAAAAATAAAATTAAATAAAATATACTGACATAACTATATTTTATGACTAATTCGCCTCAATATGAATGGAAAGAAATATCAAAATACTAACTAGTTAAACATTAATAACAAATTGCAGACAAACAAAATGTAAAGTATAATACAAATAAAAAATAAATATATCTAAAAGATAGAAAATACCTCAAATATCCATTGTAAAAAAAAATTCAAAATATGGGCGCCGGTGTAGTGGACCTTGCACACTTTTCAATGTATTAAGGCTATACAACGCGTCACTTCCAGGGGACGACCTAGCACTAAGGACCAACATGTAGAGGGCCTGAAAATGAGTTCCCACAAAATCAGACGGCCTTAGATGAACCCTCCGTGACTCAGCAACGCACTCGCTACACCACGTACGAAGTTGACGCATTTTTGGCCAGACCATCGACAAACTTGTCTGGATAATCCCGGATGACAAAACGGATCGCGCCGACCCGTCCGAAACGTTAATTTTAGTCAGATGACACCTATATTGCAAGGATTACGCGTGCGCACAAAATGGCACGAAAATCGATGCACATTTTTTTTAGCGGAGCGCGGTCCCGGGCTCAACCCAAGTTTCACTCGGGCTCGATTCGGGCTAATCACCATCTCACAGAATTTCACAGAATTTCATTTCAAATTTTGAATTTCAAAATTCAAAGGGAGCATTTAAAACTCATATTAATTGAAAATAATCTGTTTTTATTCTTTTCTAATTGAACTGGCTACATCGAAGTAAAGTATTCAATTCCCCGCCAAATCTTTCACGTAACGGCTCGCTTGATTCTTCGGCTATAGTAATTAGCCTCGACAGAAGGATTCATTCGAGCACCCCCCTCCTCGCCCGCCCGCCCGCTCTCGCTCTCTGGATTTCGATCTCCCTCACGCCGCCTGGAACTCCTTCTGCGCCGAAGAAAACCCCTTAAGCCTACCTCGCCACTACCCGCACTGAAGGCCTTCGCCTCCTTTCGTCCTTGCGTGACCGAACAATCGCCCGATTCCACCATCCTCCGCTCCCTCCCGCTCCCGTCCACTTTCTCTCGCGTGTAATCGAAGCCCCTGATCACCTTCTCGCGCGACCGAAGTCCACTTTAAATCACTTTAGACACAAGTTAAAGTATAGGCTTCCTAGATTTTAGGTGCATTCCCTAGGCGAGAAACCATCTACCTAATTCTCAGTGTAGGTCTCATAGATTTTAGGAGCACACCCTAGGTGAGAGTCCATCTACCAATTTCTCAGTGTAGATCTCCTAGATTTTAGAAGCACACCCTAGGTGAGAGTCTATCTACCTATTTTTCAGCATAGGCTTCCTAGATTTTAGAAGCACACCCTATGTGAGAGTTCATCCACCTATGTTTCAGTATAGACTTCCTAGATTTTAGGAGCACACCTTAAGTGAAGGTTCATCCACCTAATTTTTTAATAAATAATGAAATTTAGCACTTGACTCTGATTCACAAACTGATTAAGACGCTAGACATGAGGATGCACCGAGACGTAGTTCATGCTTCCTTAATTAAATCAACAGTAAAATTCCTGTAATTACTTAAAGTACAATGAAACCCAGTGCACCGGGATTTGAGCTTAGATATTACACTCAAATTCTCCTGGCAATTGAGAAAATTTGATAACACCACATATGAATCATCAGACTAGGATAAGTCAAGGGTCTAGGTGGTGAGGGCGATTATGACATTGTTTATGTGTACTTAAACGAGGGATACAAAATGAGATTATTATAATAGTATCCCCTACCTCAAAATCTTTAATAAGGGAGAGGAAAAAATCAATAATACTATTCGTCGATTCTTGGTGGGATTGTTGCCCCCGACGTTCTTAGGTTGTCAGTAGTTCTAGCACGATTAGAGTGACTAGCCTGTTGACTACACAATTTTACAAAATATTTACAAAAATAAAACAAAAAAATATCTTTTGCATGTTAAAAAGAACTTTGCATAAAAAAGACTTAAACAACAACTTTTGCATGAAAATCAAAGAATTTTTATATGAAAATTTATAAAGGTCCACGAATGATCACTTGGATTGAGGTTAAGGGCTATCTTCTGTAGATTATCGGATTGGTAACTCTTGTTCAAGATCAGGAAGCACACAGTACAGCTCTGAGCCCTCACTCCTACCAATGTCTTACACCTAGTCTTGGTTTTTCATTTGTGGCTAAGGTTTTCTTTTGCTTATGATTTCTACGACTCGTTTTTCTGACATTCATGTTGGGTTTTCTAGCCATATTTATTTTTCTTGCAAGTGTTTTTAAATCTGTTGTAAATCATACTATGCTCGCAACATTAATCACGCAACAGTGACATATGCCCAGGTACGCTTTTATAGTTTATTTAAAGCATTTTACTTTACTACATTTTATTTTTCAAAGTATATTTTATTTACCTGCGATTTACTTATTCTACATGCAAAACCAGAACTGAAACTGAAACAAACAAACAAAAAAAAAAACCAAACATTGGCACCAAAACTGTGAAACATAAACAGTCAATTTCAAATACTTAAACCATGGAGCTATCGCTACAACAAGAGGTTTGGAGCTAAATTTGTGGGCAGCACAACGAGGAATTCAGACCAAGCATCAAAAGTATCTTCTTCAGCAAACTCTTTCCTTAGTCTAAATAACAAACAATAGGACTTCGGGGTAGCTCGCCCAGCGCGACACATGTCCTCACACCCTCTTAGGCTCATGTACAACCATATTGTTCAGCATAAGTCCTAACTCGTCTTAGGTTCTAGGTCGTGTGGTACAATGTAAACTCTCTTTTCTCTGCGGGCTATTTGCATAATCAGATATTATGCAAATGTCAGTCCCAAATAATAAAATTGACAGGATTAAACACCTAAATAACATCGTCTCCAAAACTTAGCCACACATTAGGATAGTTTGGGAAGTCACTGAAGTTTGTCCTTAGGATCTGTGACTTCCCCTATTTTTTCATTCCTTTGGACTTCTGAAAATAACTATTCTTATTTGAGTCACTCCCACTTATTTTTCCACGTCCTATCGTGAAACTTAAACATTGAAATCAAATACTTAAACCATGGAGTTATCGCTACAACAGGAGTTTGGAGCTAAATTTGTGGGCAGCACAACGAGGAATTCAGACCAAGCATCAAAAGTATCTTCTTCAGCAAACTCTTTCCTTAGTCTAAATAACAAACAATAGGACTTCGGGGTAGCTCGCCCAGCGCGACACATATCCTCACACCCTCTTAGGCTCCTGTACAACCATGTTGTTCAGCATAAGTCCTAACTCGTCTTAAGTTCCGAGGTTGTCGTGTGGTACAATGTAAACTCTCCTTTCTCTGCGGGCTATTTGCATAATCAGATATTATGCAAATGTCAGTCCCAAATAATAAAATTGACAGGATTAAACACCTAAATAACATCGTCTCCAAAACTTAGCCACACATTAGGATAGTTTGGGAAGTCACTGAAGTTTGTCCTTAGGATCTGTGACTTTCCCTATTTTTTCATTCCTTTGGACTTCTGAAAATAACTATTCTTATTTGAGTCACTCCCACTTGTTTTTCCACGTCCTATCGTGAAAACTTAAACATTGAAATCTTAAAGACTAGTACATTTGATCATTATCGAGAGTTTTCACAAATGACCCCAACATTTTGGATGTAATTAACTATAGGGGTTTGACTCTATAGGGAACTTAAAACCCAGGTAAAATAAATTCTATTGATCTTTGTATTAGATAGGGAAACTTGTTGGTCACGCATAAAAGGTTCGCAAACCAAATGGATGTCACAAATCTCTTAGTTTGCAGGATTGGGTCTATCGCCGAGATATTCACTTATCTTTCGGGATGGTGCAGAATTCGCGGTATCATGCACGATTATATAAATTATTGGACGAATGAGATCCATTTGGTCTCATTTTTTTGAAAATTAAAACATTCTACTTTCAAAAAAATTAAAACATTAAAACATTCTACTTTCAAAACTCAAACTATATACCTTTTATATTAAATTAAATTTCAAAAATTATTTTCATATTCTCAAATTTCCAAAAAAGTTGACCGACAAAGACATATCATTACAAAGAAAAATAATCCCAGATATGACCTGAAAAAGCCGATTGTCCTTTTACTAGCTTTACAGAACACGTTTGAATTACCTATATTATAAGTATTTCTATTGAAAAATAGAGGAGAAAACTTTACTACTGTTACTTTATTTGAGTTATAGTAAAGTAGCAATACGAAAGCTTTCTAACTCTATTTATTGCCCTTTTCTTTTTTGTCATCTTCATACAGTAGTGCACTATATAACTTAGTTAAATAAAATATATGGAGAACATGTCTAGTGTCAAGCCATCAAAGTTTTCATCCTTTCATCTCCTTTGTTGATGATCATATCAAAATTGCTTAGGTTTACTTGTTGAATTGCAATGCCAAGTTTTTTTCATATACAAACTATTTTAAAAAGAAAGAGAAGTATACTTTTAGGTTTGGGTTGGGTTGAACCACCAACCCGAAGTTGACCCAAATAGTTATTATGTGTCTATTAATGGCTCACGGGTGGGTTAGGTTTGGGTTACACTTTTCGACTAGTTTAATTTTCGTCTCAAATTTGGGTCAAACTTTTAACCATTTCTTGAAGTATGACTCGGGTAAATCATTGATGACTTTAATTTATATCAACAATGCCTTTTAATTCTCTTCCTACTGGCATTACAGTATTTCAATTGTTCTAGACACTTATGTTATAAGCAATTTTGACGAAATTGACCATGTTGGATGCAAGTTTGCCAACTCTCCTATGGAAACTCCGCAATCATTTGAAGATGATTCTCACTATCAATATCTTCAAGGCAAACATATCAAAATATTATTGTATCTCATATATTCTTTATTGCTGTTGTGGCTAGTCAGCATATGTGAAACCTAAAGAATGAATATCAGGATGTTGTCATGATAGTTTTAAGATATATCAAGAAATAACCCAAAAAAAAAGCCCACAATATCAATAACATAATGATTTATGGATTAAAGGCCCTTTTTAGAATGCAAACAATGTTGTATCTATTAAAAATAAAAAAATAAACTTTAAGATAACATCTTTTTATAGATGGAAATCTTATGTCATGGAAAACAACGAAGCAGATTGTTGTAGTCAATTCTAACATTATAATTTGAAAAAAAGGCATTGAATCATTATGTTTTTGAAATGATGCGGATTAAAATTTTAATAGAAGAATGTGATTCCTTGCTGAAGAGCCTATGATCCTTAACTATCATAATCAATATGCTATCCACATTGCAAATAATCTTACCTCCCAAAAAAGACTAATTATATTGACAAGGATTTTCGCTACATTATGAATGCATCAATTTCAAAGAAGAACATCATTCCGCGAGCCATAACGAAAAAAATAATTGGTATCTTTAACAAAGCTCTAAGAACTCTTTATTTTTCTAATTTTTGTAATAAGCTATACCTTATCGAGGCATAGATTATTATTAAAGGAAAATACTATATTAAAAATGCTAGATGAAAAAGTTATATTTTTATTTATATCCTTATAATTAAGGATATTATCCTGTTTATTATTTTCCTTTTGTATTCTCATTATATACCTATATATACACAAACGGCCAATAGGATAGTTTCTACTCCAACACAAATGTGCAACACCTAATGATGTGTGAATTCTGTGTTACCATGCAGGTAGACGGGAGTTAAAAGATCCAAAAGGGAGTTCAAGGAAAAAATGCATCGAAGATGAGTGAAGGAAGGCGCCTCTTTGATGTATCTTATTCTTAGGTCTGCTTGGAATCTTTTGAATTCATATAAAGGATAAGCCATTATTATTTTGTCTCTCCCATCTTGACTTGCATCCATCCTACATTGCGATTCGAATTGGGAAAATGCTGATCGCTTTCCAATTTTACTGGATTTCTCTCTTAGTTTAGAAGGATCAAATTTGAAAAATATAGTATTTCTTATCATTTAAACATAAATAAATAAGAAAGCTTTAGATATGCATATATATCTACAAAGAACTACTAACTATGTTAAAAAAATCAAAACCTAGAATGCCTATAACAAAGAAAGTTAAGAAATTGAGCACTTTAAATACGGAATTTCTCAGAGGCTTGAGTAAAAAAGAACTCATGTCAATCAGAGGCCGATCAAAAATCAAATTCTCAAGGATAATGCCAGGTAATGCAAACATTTAATAACATAATGTCCGGTGTAGATTAACCCCAAAAAAACAAGGTGAAGGTTGCAGTGCAGGATTAACTTTCCACCATTCTATCTAGTGGCCATGGGTTAGTCTTAAAGATAGGCTACCTGTAATGTAATGAACACACAAGGCTGAAGGCATCAACCCTTCCTCAGATCACATATTGTAAAGGCAGCATGCATTATGCCCTTTATAATTATATTTCACATAAGAAAGAGAAAAGGCTAAACAACATAGAATGGGGACGCTAAAGAATAAATGCAATTGAATTAATACAGTCGATAGTTGTACCTTGAAAGTGCTTCAATAAGAGTCAGGGCTGATCCCTGGTAGTTCTGAGGCAGATGTTCAAGCTGATGCCAAAATTTTAAAAAAAAAATTATATTGCACCAAAATAAACAACAAGCAAATGGCACGTGTTTTCATCAACCACTAGTTAAAAACCTTAAGATTTCCAAGTTCGCTGAGAGAATCCGTGAAAGTGCTCGTCAGAGGCTTTAGCTCATCATGCTGAAGAAAAAAATAGCCATCACAAGCAAGAAAGGCTAAGACAGTAATGGACAAGAACTTTCTGTTGATTATCTGACCGGAAATGCATAGGCCATGTAATTTTCATATGCATGATAAAACCTGAAAAGGAACAGAAAATAATATTTAAACAATGAAATGAAGCTTTATCAAGTAAAGCTGTTTCTTTAAGATCCAACAATAGAAATATTCTAATTCATAGTTTACCAGAACAATTTCCAATGTAAACCAGAATTGCAATTATAACAAATTTAATGATATTGATGATTAGAAAGAAGGGCTAGACACAAAACAACCTAGCGGAAAAAAGCTCAAAACTATTTGTGGCAGGAATGAATAGATTATGAGTATTCAAAAAAGTAAACTCTAAAGTGTTAGATCTAAAGCTAATGATCATGATTATGGCATATCATCAACAGCCAAATGGAAGTAGAGAAAAGCTAAGACAATATCAAAAGGTCAATCTAGTACTGAAATTGATATGCTACCACATATCATCCTCAGGATCAAATTATGTTAGTGTTTTGGTTATCAAAAGTTTGTGGCATTTGATAGTGCAAATCCAGGCCAAGTGGCAAATAGAGAGGTCAGACATTGAAAAAATAAAACAAAGCAATAATGGTAAAAGAACATGGGCGATAACCGCCCAATCAAAGTTCACAAAACCAACAAGTTGCTGCAGCCTATCTTCTAAAAGTTTCTTTTACAACCAACTAGTCATAATCTTACTATTTGATATGCAAGGTAATGCAATTATGGTTAACCTAGCTTGATCGAGAATCAAACAGCCAAGAAAAAAACCTCCAACTGATAAACACAAATTAGGGTATAATAATTGCATTGTCTATACTCTAAAATTTAGATATGCTAACGATTGTTACTCTTTCATAGAGAACTTCTACACTCCAACAGTTCAAGCTCAATTGATTTTTCTTAAAGAAGATACTGCAAAGCATTTACAAGATAAAACAGCTAATGTACAAAATAGCATGCAGAATACAAAGGGCCCGTTTGGGGCAGCTTATTTGGTGCGGTGGCGTTTTGAAAACGCACCTGGTCTGTTTGGGTAAATTGCGTTTTGACAGCTTATGCGTTTTCAAAACGCAGAAAACAGTGTTTTCACACTGCACCTATCTAGGTGCGGTGGGAGCTTATTGACAATGGTCTGACTTTTCCAAAAAAATAAAAATTTGTAATAGTCACCGCACCTAGTTTATCAGCAGATTATTTTTAATCAGCTTATCAGCAGATTATTCAATAAGCTACAGTTGCCCCAAACAGACCCAAAGAGAATATTTATGGGCCTGAGGCAAGAATTGATAGTGATGACAAAAAAAAATATCCATAAAAAACATAGTAATTAAAATGGTCCATTTACACATTTGAACTATCAACAGAATCTCAAAGATTCATGCAAGCGTGCAATGATATTAGTGCAAGTTAGATCCGTCACATTTTTGTTATTTAGTTATGAGTTGTCTTTATATTAATTGTTAATGGTTACTATGGCATATGTCAAGTTGGACTAATGCGGAATTTTTTATTTTTGCTTTGAATGCTTAAATCATTTGAAAAAAGTATCGTTATTTCAAATAGTACTTGCGGACATATCATTTAGTTGTTGATCATTAGTTCAAGTTTCAAGTTGCTTTGCTTCTAGCTATATGCTGAACGGTTCATTCTTCCTAGGTTGTCTTCCTGAAAAGCAAGGTCATGATGGCACGTAAGATGATTACCCTTAGATGTCATTTATTAGATTGCATGGAGGCTTAATGTCATGTTTATATTATTTAATCCTTAGTTGTCTATATGTTAACTGTTAAAAGTTAATGTGTCACTTTATATTAAGCGCTAATTTGATAATTTCCTAATTTATTTAAAGATAATTTTATCAATTTGAGTAAAGCCTAATATCAAATTGTAAGGAATTCAATATTGTGTTATAACTTTATGAAATTCCATCCCATTCATCGATGCTTTAGGATCCCTATTTCTTATTGTTCTAAGGATTCAGAACCTTGCTTTAAGATGTAGCAATTTGAGACTTTGTTTTCATTTCCTTCTCTTCACTCTTTTTTAGCCAAAATAATTTTGTCCTCCACGTTGGGGCTTTGTACCCAACTTTTAATTTTATTAAAATAAATATACTGCATTACATTAACATTTCAACACATTTACTGCTATTATATCACCTACAACTTTTTTTTTTTTTTGATAATTTTACTAAGCTCACAAACACTAACAAACAAACTAAACCAACACCATAAATGTTTTTCATTGTAAGCCTTTTAATGTTTGGGTTGAACCGTAACCAATATTATTCAAACGAACAGTAAATTTCCCTTAATCCATTCGAAGTTAAAAAAAATTGTCAATCTCTTCCCATAAAATTCTCCACAAAAATGCAAGCCAAACATTAAATATCGATCCATATCTTTTCATTTGAGCTTTAAATTTAAACAAACTCTAACCAATATTATTCATTATCAGTCATTGTTGTTGGCAAAGATCCCATACATTTATAGAGATATTTTCCCATGAACAACAACATACATTTAATAGTGTGTGCAATCTCAACTTCCAATTTATAGGTTTGTAAGTGCAAAGTGTGCATCATCTAATGTACTTACATGCTATGAAATATTTGATCAATCACCAAGCCTCTCCGAAGAAGGTTTTGTGCTTTCAGTTAATTTTCAAAAGGTATATTAGATTGTATGTAAAACAACAACTAAATATTATGCACTCATTTGTTAGAGAATTTTAAGATTTGGTTCCAAATTTCTCATAGACGCACGCAAGCTCCAATGATTAACTATCTCTCCAATAATGATTAAAAAACTTCTGGTCAATGCTAATGATTTGATGCTAATTGTTTAGCGTATAGCACTAACAATTTATTTTAGATTGAGGAAGCTTCTACTTTCTTGCTTAGAGTGGATGGTAGAGATAGTAATGATAAATCAGATTAAGATCTCATAATTCTCCTGATTCCATCATCCCGGGTGTAGACTCTGGCCTATACAGTCAAAAGAGGAAGTCAAGCTAGCAAGGCCAAAATATTCTTGTCAGTTTCACAAGTTGTTTCATTTAAGAAAACCTTGTAAACATGATGTGAAATTTATTTAAGGGGGCGATCTTAAGTTAACCTTAGCTTATAAAGATTTTGTGCCTTATCAACTAAACTCTATAATTCATCACTCAGGGTCAAAAAGCCTTAGTCATAATCATACTTTTCGTGGTATCATTTGGTGGCAAAACCATTTAATTAAAGGACACATCCGACATCATTGCTAGTAAGAAATCTTTTAAAAGTAATCAAACTAAAAAACTGATATGACATTAGTTTTTTATAAATATAGGTTAAATTTAAATTTATTTCAACTTTTATGTGAAAATTTTAATTGGAATATTTAATATTTTTGCGATCTCTCATGAGATGTTTCGTAATTTTATAGTGAATTAAACTTGAAAGAATGCAAATTGAATTTTGAAGCAATTTAAAATAAAGATTCTTCAAGTTAAGATATTTTTTTTAATCAACATGATCATAATTGGTATATTTGATATAGACCCAATTGATTCTAGTTACTTGTTTGCAGAAGATAAGGTCCATACTTTATGTATGATTCAAGTTTATTTAAAAAATTCATAATACCATAGGTTTTATTAACCATGCTTCGAGTAAGAGGATTGAGCTTGAGAATTAAAATTTGTGATTATGTCCATAGAAGTAAGGTCAAATTTGTATAATATTTGTATATGAATTTTTTGTTAAAGGACTTGAGACCTACGTGAATGGGAAAAAAATAAATTTGTAGGTTTCATAATTGAGTGTTACACTGCAAATTGCTTAACATGTGAACCATCACTTTTAGTGTTGTGATAGTTCATTGAGTAAAAGTCCTATAAACTTCAGTTCTAGGAACAAGAAGTATTGACTCCAAAAGATGAGACTTACAACTCCATCTTGTAGATAAGGCAGCCAATCTAAGAATATACATGTATATTGATGAATTTAATTTTTTGAAAAGAAAAATTATAATATGAATTTTTTTATTTCAATAGGTGGATCCCTTCAATTCATGCTCATCATCATAGAGTTATTTAAATGACTTCACTTTGTCATCTTGAATCTCGTTGTTGTAGACAATAATTCTATAATTTACATATGATTTGAATTTAATTGAATATTTCTTACATAGAGAAATGGATATGTAAGTTAAACTCATAGTCATATTATGCGCATGCAACAATACTGCGATTTTCGTTTTGAAGTAATTTTCTTTGAAAAATGACTTGAATGCCACATGTAAATAATTGACAAACTAATTTTTTTATGAGATTAAACAAAAAACGTTTATTTTTAGTCTTTGATGAGAAGTTAATAGTATTAGATAGAGAGATTGAGTTTAAATATCATTATTTAGCGCAAATATTACTCTAATATTTCTGATGTGACTCTTTAAACTTGATGCTCTCTCTAAAACAAACATATGTATAAGGTTAGAATTTGAATAAAAAAGTTGAATTTTTCAATACAATTATACGTTTAACTAAAATTAAATATGTTAGTCAGTACACATCTCAGACTATAGTTTAGGCATTTAAGATATTCGTCAGAACACATGCTAAAAAATTTGCTTTTAATGAATTGGTGAGTTGTACAAGCCTTTTTGAAACAATTGTAAATCCCATAAAACATGATAGCGCCAATTTTGTTATTTTGTAGAAATATGATGTTGTTTATGGAAACATGCCACTTTAGGTATACACAAGTTGCTTCTAGTGATTGACATGTTTTTTGCTTAAGAATTTTTGTATAGACTGTGATGCAATAGATTAAACATTTTAGTTTCATTTGGAAAGATTCTCATTCAGTGAAACGCAAAATCATTTGAAAGGTAGATAAGTAGGTTGTGGCACTAATTCACATTAATGTATACTCGCCAAGATGTGCACATATATATTTGCATTTTAAGTCGATTATTGGTCATTTTTGATGCGCAAGCTTGTCGATTTATGAATACAATTGTGATTATTAGAGTTAAATATTCGTTAAGTATTAAAAGCATTGCAGGCTATATGTATTTATTACTACTTTGCTTAAGTGAGATCCATTGCAATGGATTACTTTTTTCCTTTAAATAGAAACCCTCATTAATTCATTTTCATTCCAAGTTTAGTCTGACAAGCATATTCTAGAGAGTTCTATGAATTCAAGAATTTTTTAAGTGCTCAAGCAAGAGAGTTTTGTACTCTTTGTCAAGCTTTCAAATTCATTCAAGTCCCATTTATGTTGAGTTTTACATGCAATTTATTGTTTAGTTCTAGTTCTTCTCGTTGCTTTAAGCACAACTTGTATTTCTTTTTGGGTATTTATGATGTCATTTTGCAAATCTAATTTTATTCTTACATGTGTTTTATGTCCACAAAATCATTATGTTTGTCCCAATTTAAGTCATTTTATTCAAAAGTTTGACAACCTACCCATCATGCTAAGAAAGGCGTAATAGATGAAATATAAAACACTTTAGCAGCGTTATCTACTCCCACCGAGCCAAAAGCCAAAAAAAAAGTGCATGAGTCTTTACATACCTGAGTGTTACAAACAAATTTTCCCCACCACAACAAAAAAGATGCACGCTAAAACTTATTTTAACGACTTAGCTCTTTGACTCCTAACATGCAAAGAAAATCACGTCTGGGTCCTCTTTCCACCACCCCAAGAAGCACATGTATCGGTCAATTGCACTAGACAAGATACAAACCATGTATGATTTCCCAGCCACATCGGAATGACATACGTGGGTGCTTAAAACATCACAAAGAGTCTATTACGGATAAACTTATGTGAGAAAAATCTACCAAAGACAAATATTAGGGTGAGAAAACAACAAAATTACATGCACGATTTTTCTTCAATTTTTCCTTTTTCTCTCCATTTTTGTTTTCCTTTTTTATCTCTACCACAGAGAGAGAGAGAGAGAGAGAGAGAGAGAGAGAGAGAAACCGAGGGGGTTGTCTTGAGTAGAGAGAAAAAGAAAAAGGAAGGAGAAGCATGGGGGGCCTGGAGAGAGGAGAAAAGAGTAGGAGAAAGAGAGAAGAGTGAGGTGGCTAGATTAGGTTAGAAAGAGAGAAGGGCAGAGGTGAGCTTGTGCTGGGGTGCTTGGAGCAAGCATAGCATAACAAGCGAGAGTTGGCAAGTAAGTGCAGAGAACGTTGGAAATCATGCATGCCAAGCAACAACAACCATAGCAACAAGGGCAAGTAGGGATATGCGCGCACAGGAAATTCACGTGTTATGCATGTGAATGGACATTGGCGCGTGCAAGATGGCACGATGGTTGTGATGGTGAGCATAGAACGCATTCTATTACAAAGCTATTGGGGTGTTGGTCGCTTATACGCCACATGCATGTGTAAGCAAGAAAGGCTTGCTGGCAGCACGAGTAGACACTAGTGCATAGCTCTAGTTGAGAGATAAGAACTAGAGAGACTACAAGAACGTTAAATGTGTGCAAGTAGGTCAGGCAATAGGAAAATTTATATATTATACTTTTTTTACAATTTTTTTAAACTAAAATATAAGCAAGGGGTGCAGTGCCAGGGGTGCAAATATTATATTCATATGGACATAATCACAAATTTTAATTCTCAAGCAATATAAGCAAGGGGTGCAGTGTCAGGAAAATTTATATATTATACTCATTTTAATTTTTTAATAGACCAATAAAGCATCATTGCAATTTTTGCAATGTTTCTTCACTCAAAAATTTCCAAACACTTTAGGAGTACGTGCCTCTTTCTTTCATTGCACTTTTTCTAAAAAATCTACTTTGCATAGCTAACCTTCTCAATAAAGGTCGTCTTTGAGAACAATATCTGAAGTTGTCTCCTCCAACACATCTAATATCCCTATGAAGAAAGGATCTTTTTAGTATTGCTCCTGATAATCTTTATAAACAAAATATTCAGTGACTTAGAGAGCATTTCAATCATTTTATTGGAAATCACATTCTTTTGAATTATGATGAACTGTTGGATATAAGTAAACCACTTTATATGACAAATCCATTGTAACTAAATTTAATTTTACATATAATAAAATGGCATGTAGTTTATATGTAGCATGCAGTCTCTTTAAAAGATAAGCATGTAAATGTTTCCTTGTCTTATGTAGTGCCATTAGTTCTTCGCTATATGTGGGATAGTTTTTTGAGTTCCCAAAAACATCTCTGAGTGGCAAGGAACAGGCCTCCCAATACTACATGAATATTGATCTCATTGCATTCTACTAGCATTTGCCTCCATTTCAAACAATAACTACAAATTTGTTAAGGGTAGTATAAGGCCATGCTTATCTTCTCCAACAAGATAAATGTTTCATCTTTTAGCTTCATTCAAATTTGGCATTGACACTAGTCAAAATATGTAAATAAAAAGTAAGCACTTGAAATTTGCAAAAAAAAAAAAAACATATGAGCATATTGTTAGGCTGCCATGAAACTCCTTACATCAATCAATGTTTATAATCTAGTCCACACTTTAACTGTCTGTTGACCTCATATTTAGTGAGGTCTTAGTCTCCTACTCTTAGAACCTAGGATCTAGCTTTAGGAGTTCTTATTGACCATCCTAGCGGACTAGTAATGGAGCCCGCCTCCCGTAGAACTTCAAGCCACTTCTTGACTCATTTTTGTGAAGAACTCGCATGAGTGGTTCCAAGCACTCGACTTTTAGTTGCAAGGGCTAAGGACCAATATGTAGAGGGCCCGAAAATGAGTTCCTATAGTATCAAACAGTCTTAGGTGAACCCTTTGTGACTCGATTACTCGTGAACGCCGCAATTCACACACTCACTGCACCACACACGACTTTGACTTGATTTGACTCGCCCGCCGCAAACTCGTCCGAACGATCCCGGATGACGGAACGGACCACGCTGACGCGTCCGGAACGTCAACTTTAGCTAGGAAGGACACTCGCATTGTTTAGGTTACGCGTGCAAACAAATGACACGAATATCGATGCATGTTTTTTTTTTAAATTAGCGGGGCGTGGGTCGGACTCAACCCAGGTTCAACTCAGGTTCGATTTGGGTTGGACTCGGGCTGAACAAGGGTTAAACAATTTTGAATTTCAAATTTTCAAATAGACGTTTAATCTCATTTTAATTGAAAGTTAAAGACTTTCCTTTTGAATCTGCTTCATCAACGGAAACTAATTAAGTCCCGCCAAAGTTTTAGCATAACGGCTTCTTCGATTAAATTCGGCCCCGCTCCTCTTCTACAAGGGGAACGTTGGCTTCTTCCTCGGGCGCTCGGCACAATCAACACCTGTTCCTTCTCACGCTCGATCCCGTACCCCTCCTCCTTCACAGACCGAAATCCTCCGCTCGCTCCCGTTCCCGTCTACTTCCTCTCTCGCGCGACCCAAGACTTCTTCCTCAGGTCTTCTCTGCGTCGAAGACTCTCCCGTTCGACTCCTTCCTCCTCACTGCACTGCATCAAACGTCTCCTGCCGCCGAACAAACCAAGCCGCTCGTCTCCTTCGCCCGATCGAAACCCCGCTCTGCTCTTCCTTCTCACGCCGAACGGTCGCTCGACGCTCCTCCTCCCTGAACCGAAGGTCGTGCTCCCTCGATCCCACTCCTCCGCTCGCACGCTCTCCTCTGCGACTCGACGCTGCAAACCGAGCTCCTATCTCCCCCTCGCCTCCGCTCCTTTGATCGGCGAAGAACCCCAGCCCCCTCTTTCTCTCTCGATCGCAGCTCTAACCGAAGCTCCCCGAAGCCCGCTCCTGCTGCGCCTTCTCTCGCGCGACGAGAAGTGTTCGTCCAGTAGCCCTGACCGAATTCCCTTCACATACGGCAAACCTCCCTACTCGATTCTCTCCCGGCCTCCACCAAAGAGATTTTAAGAAGGTGAACTCTAAACCATTTTTTTTTATCAAATCGCAAACAATGGTCCCTTTTGTTTGTCTCTGATGTGTGGATTATGTGATTTAAGATTGAATGCCTACTTGATTTATTTCTGGATTTATGAAGAATCTTAGCTCTTCTTTAGAGTTACTGTTTGGAGCCATAAAGTTTTGTATCTCCGAAATGTGCTTAGAATTTTGTAAAGCATGCTTTGTAGGTTTCTAAAAAGTAAATTATATCAATTTGGAATGCCTTGTGATTGGTTGTTTCAATAAGTTTATCATTCGTGGCGTTTTATCTTGTGTGTCTTGATTATCCACTGTTCTTTTAATTGCATCAGCCTTGTTTACTTGCTTTTATCTAGGAATCACTGATATGCTAGTATTACAATGGTCTTGTGTGAGCATGGGGAAATGGAATCGTTCTTCATTAAATTCAAGATAATGCTTAATAGTTGTTAAAATCGTGACCATGAATTATTGGATGTAAATTTTTTCCCAAATGAGTCTTTCGTCTAATATTATTCCAATATTCTTTGCTGGAACTTGTTGATTTTTTTTAGAAGGATTCACATACGCACCACATAATTCTCATGGATTTACATTTCTAATACCTTAAGTTTTAATCACTTTACATACACATCTTTGTGCACGCGCGCTAGAAGCCGTATCGATGTTGTTTTGACATGATACAAAAGATTTGGGTGGTATAAATGTAAGAATTAAAGTCTAGTTTGGATATATGTTAACACAAAGGGATGGTGGGATATGCGTGCAAATTTTTGCTCGATTCTTCTTGGCCGGTTGCTCGGTGTTATCGTTGTTTTGAAGAAGGATTGGGATGTCATTCTAGCTGTTTTTTTTTTTTTTTTGCCTCGACTTTCATCATTTGGACAATATACATTGCTGGTTTCGGAGACTTTATATACCACCCGGGTGTTGATTCGGCTATTGTTTTTGGGCTTAAAAGGGGGAAAAGAGAGTTTTTTTTTTTTTTTATTT